AAAACAAACTCTGGAAGAGCTACAGACTGTTCACTCGGAGGCACATGCCCTGCTGTACGGCACAAACCCTTTGAACAGACAGAAACTGGACAGCAAGAAACTGCTAGGTACAGCAATGGGGGTCACGGTTCCCTACCTTCGTGGCCCTGCATTCATACAGTGACTGCCTTTGCCATCGCAGTTCTGGGGGCAGCCCGTTCTGAGTGCCGCAGTCCTCTTCACTGCACTGCAGTGGGACAGCCAACAACAGGCTGGGCTTCCTCGCCCTGCCAGGCCACATCTACGAGAGCCGCGAGTCTGCGCCTGGGCCAGCTGCCTTCAGCCAGTGCTTCAGGGCCACAAGGAGCCACGTAGATGTTCTTACCCCTTCTCCTGTCGGGGTTCAGAGGCTTGCCTGGGGATGCCCACACTGCTCCTTCTAGACCTGTAGCACATGCCCGAGTCAGCCGACCCAAGCTCCTCTAACTCTCTGCCATGGCTTGTGGTGATTTCTGCAGTGTAGAAATGTCCTTCATTTCCTCTCTTAAAAGTGCCAAAGACCTAGAGGGAGGCCCTGCGGAGGAGCAGGTAGTCCAGGCTCCAAACCCATTTTACCTTGGGACTCGGTTGTTCTTGTCACATGGTACCAACCCATGTGTGGGGTTTGTGATCTGGTCCTCCAACCGGTGGACGGTAGGGGGGTAGGGAGGCACATGGAACCCTGGGTCCTTTAAATCACTGCTGGAGCTTCTGAGGGGTGAGGGGGGCGGGGATGCTCAGGGCAGGCTATCGGGGCCCCGTCCCTTCCACCTTAGGCCCCACCCCTTCTGGGACTGTGGAAGCAGGAGCCCCGCACCTTGCCCAGGGACCGCAGAGGCTGTCCCTGTTTGTGATGCTGGTTCTGTCCCCTAAGATCTGGATTCATATAATCAAACAGCTATAGGATGGGGACCTCTTCCTGCCACTACCTAGCTCAGCCGGGCTCAAAATGGTGTTCTAAAACAGCGGTTCTCAGCCTTTCCAGACGACTGTCCTCTTTCAGGAGTCGGATTTGCCTTGCCGACCCCACGTGTCACTTCACCTAGAAAGCACTTGCTTTAAAAAATCAAACATCAAAATACTGAAGTGACACAGCACGCTGTTACTGAAAAAATGCTTGCTTGCTTCCTTATTTTTCCTATATAATGATAAACCAATTGGATTATAACATTGTACTTACGTCTCAGCGTATCGTCTGTAGAGCACTATAAACGAGTCATTGTCTGAAGTGTTATTTTGTATTGAATTCACTAGTGATTTTCCTCTGGCCTGTTGTAAAACTGGACAGATATCCCCCCCCCCCCCCCAAAAAAAAAAAAAGTTCTGCATAGCCCAGGTTGAGAAGCTCCGTATCTTCCTACCGGTCCTCCTTACTCATCCAGTCCCAGGTTCATCTTTTTCTGGTGACCCCATGCTTCGTTGTTGTCAAGTGGACAAAGTGTGTGTGTGCTATTTAATGAGTATCGTACGCGGACTACGCCGCCCTCTGAGGTTGCTCCTTGCACTGAGCTAGTGCCGGGCAGAATAACTGCTTGTTGCTAGAGTGTTTCCCAAGTCCTGTGGCTGGGGGCAGGGGCAGAGCATTCATTGTAGTTGTATGGTGGATCCTCAGTGGTTCTCTTTCTCTTTGAAGAGTGAAGCCTTCCTGAGTAGGGGAGTATCCGTTACTCATAGGCCCTAGACTGTTCCTCTTTCCTATTGTACAAACTCGGGGGACTGCTGCTCAGAAAACGACTGTACCAGAGAACCGCATAAGTATGTTCCTCATCTTTTGTAGTTTTCAAGTGCCTGTTACTGGCATCAGCTCATAGGTCTAAATAGTTCTGGACGGTCTCATATGGGCGTGAGGAGTAAGAGAATGCGGAGTCCTCCAGCACCTTGAAGACTAATCGGTTTATTTGAGCATGAGCTTTTGTGGGGGGGGGAGCCCACTTCATTAGATGCATCCGACAGTGGTTTTTTGCCCATGAAAGCTTATGTCCAAAGATATCTTTAGCCTTTCAAGTGTCCCAGGACTCCTAGTTCTTGTGGATACAAACTAACACGACAGCCCTTCTGATAGGAATAAGAGACAGTTTGAGACAGTTACCACCTCTTCAAAATCAGAGATGTCGTCTGCTGTGGGAGTGGCATCACTATTAACCTGCACCATGTAGAGTAAGTCAAACATCGTGTGTTGGATGGTATGAAGCTCCTGCTCTGTGTTCAACACAATGTATGTTTACCAGTCCAAACACATTTACGTTTCTCCCCCCACCAGATCGTGACTGTCATGTTTTTTTAAATGAAACCAATGTTGCCATCCCAAAACTTGCGCTGCAGTTGTGGGTGCTCTTAATTAATTGGATTAGCAATATTCACAAGGGGCATCTGATACATGGAGCAGTACAGAGGGGAAGGACTATTTTACAAGACCTCACCCATGCCTTGAGGCCTGGATTCCATGTCATGAAATCCAACCGTTTTCCAAGCACTTCTGATTGATGGGAGTGTAAGAATTGACAGAACGGTCCATCTACTCCAGTAGCCAGCTCTTGACAGTGACCAGCACCGGCGCTTTCAGAGGAAGGAAGAGGAAACTTGCTGAGTAGGTAGAAATGAGCTAATCTGGTACTATAAAGGTCTCATCCTAATCCCTGCTGATTAGAGATTCTTAAATTTTGAGGCATGAGGTTTAACATCTTTTCCCATCTATTTTTTTTTCCGTGCGGGTGGCTATAACTGGATATTCTTGTTATGCATATAAACACCAAATCCTCCTTATTATATTATAAATATCAGTATATTACTATTATAAAATTCCATATTTGAATCTTGCTAAATTCTTGGCCTCAATGGTTTCCTTTAGCAACAAGTTCCGTGGTCAAATTATGCACCATCTGAGAAAGTATCTCCTTTGAACAGGTTTGCTTTCGGTACCTTTGTTTCATTACATTTCCTCTTGTTCTTCTAGTGCAAGCCAGGGAGAACAGAAGCTCCCAACCTGCTGTTCTCTATTTTCTGTACTTTTATCATATCCTCTCAGCATTTTCCTGATGGAGAATTGTCTTGGGAGTTGCTCCGTGTAAAAGCCATCTAGAGTTGCTGTTTGCTTTTTCTCGTAGTTTGTTCTGAAAAGGAATAGTTTAATCGTTTTACTTAAATATTTGTTTCCTTGATGGGTGGTGTGCTTACTTACAAATTTTGACTGTTCAGAAATATGATGCCTGATAAATATAAAATATTTTGAAAACAGTAATCAGAATAGATAAAAACGAGTCATTAAAAAAAATGGTTTTTTTTCAACTGGATAATCGTTGTCTAATAAGTCGCTGACCATTTTCTAATAGAAAGTGTAAAAAGTCAAAAGCCTGAATAAATGTATATTAAGTTATATAATTGTTTAAATAATATTAAATAGAAGTAGTAGTTGCATGGTTAGCAAATTAGTACCAAATTATACCAACTAGTGAGACTCTATCTTCCATTAGGAAAGTAACAGGTACAGACATTGAACAAGAATTAATATCGATTATTTAAATCGAAGTTGTCTGCTTGCTGATTTCAAATCCCGATTACAATTGATATAATTTTTTTTATTTAAATCATTTGTCTTCAACACCAATAAAAGAAAGCCCCCAAAACAGGCAATTAGAAATGTTCTATTAACATTTAGTAGTTAGAGTTGCCTTCCAGAAATCTCTTAGTATTTCTGTTCTTCAGTGTGTATTTGATACTTGCACGTAGTCATGTACCTGCACTTAGGGTTGGTTATAGCTGTCCTCTGCCAGCTGTAATTCACAGAAAGGCACAGTGATCAGGAATATTAACTCTTTCCGCCTGGCCACTGTTCCAAGGAGACCACCCCATAGTGACTTGCTGCAGTAGTACTTACTTCTGAAAACCTGTCACCTGATGCTCCCACAGGATCGCATGCTGCCATTTAACTTTATACAGAAATCCTGATTGTGGCAACAGGATTTCCACATCATGAGAGAGAGAGAGGAAAAAGTGGCCCTGGTATGGTAAAGCTAGTGAAATATCCTGCCATCAGATCTCAAAAATAATTAGGCCTATAAAACCAAACATGTAATATTCTGTGTTTTCAGTGAACTTTCAGAAGAAACCTCCTGAATCTGACTTCACAGTATTTTTCAGACAAAGAAAAAAAAATACACACATATAAATTAAAAGCAAACACTAGTTAGACAGGACTTTGAAACAAACAGCCTCTCTTTGACTAAGTATAAATTAATCAAAATAAGGGAAAACTTGTTTCCAGAAGTTCTTTGTGTTTTCAATTCAGCACCACATATTCCTAAACCCAAAACATGTCACAGAATACCTCTCAAAACTGTACCCTCTTTGGGGGGTAGCCTGAAAATATTGACTTCCTCTCTGTTTCATTCTTTCATTGTCTTAATATACCTCCAGGAGAATATACATTTGAGACAGGGACCATTTTTGTTCTGCGTTTGTATAGTGCCTACCTCAAGGCCCTGATCTCTGATTGCGGCTGTTAGGTGCTGCCCTTTTACAAATGATTAAGAATGTTGTTTGCTTCATTTGTATCTGGGAGGGCCAACCACCAATGCTGAAACAAGGAGTCCTGTGGCACCATGACGACTAAGATTTATTAAGGCATACGCGTTCATAGGTAAAGCTCACTTCATCAGATGATCTGGAGTGGAAATTAGAGGCATGAGTGTGTATATATAAGGACAACGAAGAAGGTACTTGTGTAAATGAGGCTATTCAAGTCAGGGTGGAAGTGGCTTGTTCACCTCTTTCTTTTGTTGTCCATATACACGTGTAAAATATACATACACACACTCACACACACTCTATAAACTCCACTCCAGTTCATCTGATGAAGTGAGTTTTACCCATGAAAGCTTATGCCCTAATAAGTCTTAGTCGCTACAGTGCCACAGGACTTCCCCTTGTTTCTGCAGATATAGACTAACACGGCTCTTCCTCTGAGACTTTTGAACAAATGCTGAGGAAATTAGAAAACTGTTTTTTTTCCTAATTGCCTCAGGCAGAACACACAATGTTTCTTTCATGTATAGTCCTGGCTTAATGCAGGTCCTTTGTTGAGATTGTTATGGAAGTGGTAGGTTTTATAGTCCAAACCAGCCAACCAAAATTGATATACAATTCTCTATCAGGATATCGGTTTCCTTAGTTTTCATCACTTGGTCCCTCCAGCCGAAAAGCGCAGGGAAGTGGGGATTCTGCCCATGGGACCGTCTTTGGCTGCAAAGACATTAGGCATCTCTGGGCTAACAGCAAGAAAAATACAACTCAAACCTTGGCTAAAGCCAACCTCTCCTGTTCTGGTGAGCCAGTGCACTGGGCTGGATGGGGTAACGTCTGGCAGAGAGAAATGGATCGTAGGACCAATATCTCCTGGTTATGTGTTGGAGCCGGCCTGGTGCCACTTCGTGTGCTCCTGCTATGTGTCACAGCTCGCTAGGGGCCCATTTGGGAGCATACTGCTCCCATGAGAGCTCCAGGGATCTCCATTGGGAGGAACTTGCCAGTAGTTCAGAGGCTTAACTGAGATTACAAGAGAATCTCTCTCTCTTTCCTCTCCTCCCCTCCTCTCCCCTCCCTCCCCCCAATCCCACCCCGATGCCCGATAACGGATTTTCCCTGCTCGCTTAGCCCCGGGCTTTGGGGTGTCATGGATGTGCAGCTCAATCCCAAGCCATGGGCGGGCCTTGACTTTAATGCCATGACATCACCACTCACCCACACTACCTGCTTGGCCTTTCCTAGTATGCAGCCCATGCTGTTGTCATGTGTTGTGCACTGCACATGTGGCTGCCTGCATTTATTCTGCGTAGCAGTAACCAGAGAGGCAACGGTGAAGGGTGCATCTTGGAGGGAAATGAAATGGAGGATCTGCAAGCTAGGGCTGCAGTGAGTTGGGTTCTAGGGGGAGAGGAGGAGCCTGGTAAAAGTAGGAGAAGACTCCAAGTTTCATAAGCTTGGCTGGGATGTGACTTTGGAATGGGGACATTTCCAGAAGGCCCATGTAGCTGGCCAGGGATGAGGTGAGGGTTTAACAACCCAGCATTGGTTTGGAGTTTACTTTAGCAATGGAGCTAGTCCCCTGTGAGAACAGCTGTCTTTGATGTGTTTGAAAAAGTTCAAAGCAGATGACTATTCCTGAAATCAAGCCCGTTCCTGCTTATTGTGCTTTCTTAATTTATGACCCAGGGTTTTTTTAAATGTCAAAGGTCTAAACCCACAGCAAGTTTGTAGCTTAAAAACAAACCTGTGTTTGAATTACTTGCACGCAGAGAATTGTAACTTTTGTTAATAGAGATGCGTATTCTACCAGTCACACACTTAAAACAGGTCAACTGGTTTTGTTTCAGCTCTCCTCCCAAAATAGGTCTGAGAGTTGAAAATTTCATTCCTAAAGGAGCCACTTAGAAAGCTGAGAGAAGGAAAGCAAAGGTTTTTGGGTGGAATGACTTCTCATTTATGTTCTTGATGGCTGAGATGTCATTTATTCTAGCAGCTTTTTCAGAGAAACCAGGAAGTCTGCATCTCAAACTTCTCCACATTGTAAGCAGTTCTTTCAAATGTAGAAATCCAGTGCTAATTAATTGTACTTTTAAACTTGGTTCAGCTTTGAGTCTTTCAAATACATTTTAAGACTGCGTATCCCAGTGACCAGGGAAGGAATCAGTTTAAATCTATCACTGATGTTTGAATTGTCTGCCCTGGTAAAACTTGAGTAGCTCTAAATAGGTCCATTTTATTTGTGTTAGAAATACAATTTATCATATGGTGTCTGAAGTGAATGGTTAGCTGACAAAAGTTGGTGACTTTCCGGCAGGCTATGAAAACTTGTGTATGTGTTTCTGCCTCCCCTTGAAAGTTTTGGATGAAATATAGAGGCACCTCTACTATCTGATGGGGTAGAGCTTCAGAACCAGCTGTTAAATATAGGCAAATAAGGCTATTTTAAATCTACACACTGGAAACAAAATCTTGTCAGATTATTAAGTAATAGGTGGGTTACTAGTCGAAGATGTGGCTGGAACTCAGGCAGTAAAATACTTCCATATGGATCTCATCAAACAATGAATTTTGCAGATGTATTAACCTCACTTTCGGCTGAAGGGGAAAACTTACTGAGCTGTGTCTGAGACACATTTCACTCGTGCATGGTTCTCAGTCACCGTGTGCTTTCTATCACTGTCATTTCATGATCTACAGAGGAGATTCGTTTGCATTTTAAGGAAACTTCCTCCATTTTATTGTTTCAATATAAACCAACTAGGATAACAAGAACCTAATCTGGAGAAAATATTGTCATCAAATTGACTTTGCTGTTGGCCGAGATGTATCTAGTATGGTCAGAAATAGCTAATATGGGGCAATTGGCCCCAAGGCATTTAATGCGCATGTGAGAAAGGGTATTGATTTATATATGCTTGTTTTCTTCCTGCCATGTGTTGTATGAGAGTGTATATGTAGATATGCACACTGTCTATATAATTTACATGAATTGTAATGACAGATGTTCTCTGTTCAGAATTTTTTTGTCCAGGATTGGTGCATATTATAACTTCTGAGATTACATTCCATCTGAGTGGTGTTTTCCGAGGCACAAAGAATATTATCGCTGATGTATGGGCAGAGAAAATAACAGTGGCATTCTCATCAGTTCACAATGTCTTCCTGGCATCTTTTTTCTGTTTTTCTGGAACCTCTTAAGGTGGTTTTCCTCTGTCACTCTTAAGCAGCTCCTCTTCTCTGCTGGCAAATGGGTGTTTATTCTGTGTCTCTTGTAAAAGCATTGTATGAAAGTGTCTAGTAGAGTCCAAAAATCTTCAGTATTACGATTGATTTTCCTCTTATGGAGTCCTGAATAAACAAGTGCAGTCAGCTAATAATTTGGGGTTTTTTTCATGATTTAATTTCATAGAATCCTAGACCACTAGAACTGGAAGGGACCTCGAGAGGTCATCAAGTCCAGTCCCTGCCCTCACGGCAGGAACAAGCACCGTCTAGATCATTCCTGACATGTCTGTCCAACCTGCTCTTAAATATCTCCAGAGATGGAGATTCCACAACCTCCTGGGCAATTTTATTCCAGTGTTTAACCACCCTGACAGTTAGGATGTTTTTCCTAATGTCCAACCTAAACCTGCCTTGCTGCAGTTTAAGCCCATTGCTGCTTGTTCTATCCTCAGAGGCCAAGGAGAACAATTTTTCTCCCTCTTTCTTGTAACCCCCTTTTAGATACCTGAAAACCGCTATCCTGTCCCCTCTGTCTTCTCCTTTCCAAACTAACCAAGCCGAATTCCTTCAGTCTTCCCTCATAGGTCATGTTCTCTAGACCTTGCATCATTTTTGTTGCTTTTCTCTGGACCCTCTCCAATTTCTCCACATCTTCCCTGAATTGTGGTGCCCAGAACTGGACACAATCCTCCAGCTGAGGCCTGGTCCGCACAGAGCAGAGTGGAAGAATGACTGCTCCTGTCTGGCTCACCACACTCGTGTGAATGCAGCCCAGCATCATGTTTGCTTTCTCATCCCCTTTAGTTTAAAGTAGTAGGACCCCATTAGAGCATTAGTCTTAGCAGACATGCTCAGGAGTCACTACGGGTTGAAACTCTCTGGTTCGGAAACATCAGTCATCCAGCAAGAGCTGAGTGAGCCGGATGTCCACTTCATGGGGTGGCCACATTCCCTGCAGTCCCATAAAGTTTGTTTACATCCCCAGTCCTGGCTCTCAGCTCTAATTTACCCCTACATGTCCTCTAACAGCCCAGCAAGCAATGGAAGTGTAGGTCATGCTGCTGGACAATATTGACCTTCTGTGGTTCGGCAAATTCTCTGGTTTGGCACCAGCCAGGTCCCAAAGGTGCCGGACTAGACAGGGTCAAGCTGTATTGGCAGTTACTACTCTTGTTATCAATTTGATTTCTGTGAAGGCTTCAGCAAAGCTATTATTTATATTCACCGTGGTTCAAATCAAAGAACCGAACATATGTGTCTACAGCATGTACAATTGTATATTTTATACATACACACGTTGAAATATTATTTTATTTGTGCCACTACAGAGTGATTAAAACTGAAGCATGTGTTAGAAAAGGTTTCAGCATTCTCATAAAAATCATCCACTAAACCGGTGAACTCTGCCTTCCTGATAACGTACTTCTCTCACTTTTTCCACAGGTTCCATCACATCCATGTTTGTCAGGCTCCCTTGTGGTGGTGTTGGAGTAAGTATTTTCTTTAATGAGTAAATAATGCCCTGTTTGTTCTCTGAGTCCCAAGGGTAACAAAAATTGTTGCCTTGTTTTCTGCCGAGCGGCTAATTACTACCAGATGTTCGCCATAAACAGGGTCCTTCAGGGCTGTGGGGTCACAGCGACAGCCTCACGTGTGTGCCTTCAAAAGCAGTGTGAGATTTTTAGCTATTTTGAGCACTGAAACCTATTACACATGCTTTGTCACTGGCAGCGAAGCAGAAATCTCATCTCCCGAGCGGGGATGTTTAATGGCTTAGATTACTGCGTTTTAAAATGATTATCAACATTGTGCTACAGATACAGCGAAGGAAAGGGGTACTTTCATTGTCACTCAGACTGTGTAGGTGTCTTTCTCCGTCTTGTTTGTGCCTCAGGACTGCCTACGTGGTGCTACAGGTGGAAAATAGTGTATTAAAATACTGGTGGTTGAAGGACAATATCTATAAGCAGCAGTTTGTTGTATTTAAATCAGGGCTCGAGACTGAAATGTCTTGCAAGTTGCACTTCAGGCAAGAATTGTAGTTTCCAGTGTCAGGAGTCCTTCAGCATGGAGTTTAGCATAATTGTGTCTGAATTCTGAAAGAGGTAACTAAAATGTCCACCCATCTGGTGACAGCTGATCATCAGTTTTTGGCAGTAAAAAATTTCATATTAATAACAGGATTTTTTTTCATGCTCCCAAAGTGTTAACAGATACAGCAAATTGAAATGCTAAAGTCTAGCATTCCTTTAAGCCAATATTTTTTCCTAATAAGATTTTGCACAGCGACAGTATAGAAAATCGGGAGGAAAAGATGGAAAAGAGAAAATGCAGTTGAAGGCATTGTTTGAAACTTCACATTGGTAGTTCTTATACATAATTACAGCTCATGAGGTTGAATCTGGAGGTCTGGATTCTGTTATGGAAATGAAACAAAATTGTTTTCTTCCTGAGTCTGCAAAATTGCTCCTTTGAAAATTATCCTGTCAAAAAAATCGGCATTTATTCATACCATCACCACTTACCATCAAGCACTCCTAAGCTATTTTATTTTGTATTGTAAATATGCTGCAGTCTCCTAATTCATGGCAAATTTTTGGCTACACTTAAAAAGGTTTAGATTTGCTCTGCCCTGCAGCCAGGCGTGCCATTCAAAGCAAAAAATGATCATTTGCAAATGGAAGATGAATGGTAATGAGCAGAGGCAACAACAGGGCTCGATACAGAAGGAATTCAGTTCCGAAACAAAACAAAACCAAAAGCCCATCGTGTTAGTACTGCTGAAACGGTTCCGTGGATGCTGTGTAGAGTATCTACTCATGTAGTTGCCAGTTTTCTCAGCATATCTTTACATGTCGGTTGATTGTTTCATACACCATACTGATGTGAGGAGCGATTGCTCGCAATACACGTTTGCCTTATTATTTCTCTCTCGGCGTCAAGCTGACATCTATTCCAAACATGGCAGTGATCCCTTTGGTGTTAATAGCAGAAAGGTGCGGAATGAACTCGTAGCAGCTGCAGGTCAAAAAGAGAGTTTGTTCTGCACTTGTAAGTAAGAGACTTTTAGAGGTCCATGGAAAGAAGGTTCACGTCTCCGCAAGGCATCCTGGCAGGGCGTACTATGCTTCCATTTGCTCTGGAGAGCGTGGTGGTGGTATCTATTGTCTGATGTGGTTATAGCTCTGTCAGTCCCAGGATGTTGGAGACACAAAATGGGTCTGTTGCATTCTGACTTTTGCAGTGAAGCTGGGGGCACCTTTCCTAGACCTGTGTGGCTCGAAAGCATGTGTGTCTCACCACCAGAAATGGCTCCAATAAAAGATCTTGCCTCCCTCCCCTTGTGTCTCTGGTTCTTAGCTGTGGCTGCCTGAGGAATGTTGCTGTAAGAAGTCATGCAGTCACACTCCAGCTCAGGGTGCCAAAATCAGAGAGAAGAAACCTTGACACTTGAAGCTTAGGTCTTGCATAAAATCAGCTGTGATTGTGGTCGTGGGTCAGATCATCCCTTTTTGCTTCCAGAGGAACCCGCTCTTTCCTTATCCTCATGTACATGCAGTTTCTGCTCACATTCTTGTGTCCCAGCCATGTGCTATGGGTCACAAGCCCACCAGGTGGGACCAGTGGTTTCAGTCGTGCTAGTGGAGAAACCTGACTTACATCAATTGTATTTCTTCATGCTATTTTGAATACGTTTGTATAATGTTCATATTCCCATAAACCTCTTATTAATGGAAGTGACAGAAGGGTAAGAATGTGTAGGAAATCCGAGAGGAGACCGTACAAATACAACTGGTCCTCTTAAAATCTTTGGATGACTTCCAGAAAAACACAACCTCAGCATTCCAAAGCCATAGAGGGCCAGCTACAGTCATGCTCTCTCCAAACCATGAAAACCATTATTAACTTCTCTCGTTATTCAATTGTAAGGAAAAGCTGTTACATCATAATTGACAAAAACTAACTTCTCCCAATCTGCAAAGTCTGATCATAGTAGGAAAAAACACAGAACTTACATGAACATATTCCGGCTGGTTTGAGTGGCTGTAGCAACATCGGTGGGCGGGGTATAGAATACTGATGCAGTAAAACTCCAATGGCCCGGCACTCCTGATGGTCCGGCACCACCTGGAACCCAGAAGTGCTCCGGGCAGCCGGACAATTGGAGCTGCTTTGCCCCCGGCTTCCCTGATTCAGCTGCTGTTGAAACTGACCAGCTGAAACCCCAACTGCTCTGCCCCGGGCTTCCCCGAGTCAGCCGCTTGGGGTATAGAATACTGATGCAGTAAAACTCCAATGGCCCGGCACTCCTGATGGTCCGGCACCACCTGGAACCCAGAAGTGCTCCGGGCAGCCGGACAATTGGAGCTGCTTTGCCCCCGGCTTCCCTGATTCAGCTGCTGTTGAAACTGACCAGCTGAAACCCCAACTGCTCTGCCCCGGGCTTCCCCGAGTCAGCCGCTTGTCAGTTTCAGCAGCGGCTAACCTGGGTATGCCTGGGGCAGAGCAGCTGGGGTGCTGCCGGGTTGGTCCCACAGCATCAAGGGGCGCATCCCCCCACTCCACCCCAGACTCCTCATAGCCCCCCCTTCCAATAATCCGGCATCCCCTGGGTCCTAAAAGTGCCGGATTATTGGCAGTTTACTGTACTTAGAGAGGACTTGTTACCTTTTGTTCTTCAGACTCTAGGTTCGTAAGTCTTGTCTTACATTCAAGTAAAGTATATTAATTAAGTAATGATCAGAATGTTATTTAGCAGAGAGTTAGACTTGGATTTTTGGTAAGAAAATTTTAGAAGCCTTGTACAGTAACCTCATCTGAACCGAAAGAGAGACCCAGTCATGCATCACTAACAAGCAAGAAATACACTTCTCTTCTCCAAGCCCTGCCAGATGAGGGGTGATTTGCAGTCCCAGCAACAACTCCTGTCATGGCCACGACACCGGAGACTTCATGGGGAGGGAGAACAAATCTTATCTGCTCAGAAATGAATTTCAGAAATCCAGAAGGATGAATGGGTCAACATCAGCCCATGCACCAATAGCAGCATGTTCAGAATACGAGAAGTGCCCAGATCACAGCCCCTATCCTAACGTTTGCCATCACAGGAGAGTCTAAGCTCTTGATAGCCAATTAGTGGACTTACTCACACATTCAAAGGTAGGCTCTTAAACGCTTGGCCACATGGCCAGCCACCCTGCAGGCACCCAGAGATGCAGAAGGTAGCAGACTCTCTGTGCTTAAATCCTTCTCTTGGGGCAACAGCCTAGAAATTGGCTTCCAAATTGCACAATTTTTTTTTTAAGTATTGAATTTCTCCCTGCAGGAGTAAAAGCTTCCAAAATCTCTGTCCTCCCCCTCTGGTTCTTCTTCAACACTTTGTTTCAAGCTGCCTTGGCATCTTAGCAGAAGGGCTGGTAGACATTCTCCATAGGTGGGGAGCCACCACCTCCCATGTTGCCATCAATATTTATTTCACATCACCCTTGCTCCCCTTAGAGTGGGAGAATGCGACTGTAAAGACACGGGTTCTATGAAAGGCACAATAGCACTAAGCATCAGCAAGGTGGCAACGCTGCAGCCCCAGAACAACTTGGTTCTCTATACAGGTCAAACCTCTCTAGTCTGGCACTCTCTGGTCCGGCAACATGCATGGTCCGGCAGGATGTGAGTTCGCTGGATGTCCACTTAATATGGGCGTGGCCAAGTTTCCTGTGGTCCCATAAAGTTTGTTTACAGCCCCCAAAGTCCTGGCTATCAGTGTTCTGTGCTGTTTAGCTTTAATTTACCCCTACATGACTCTTAGCCCAGTTAGCAGGGGCAGTGTGGATAATTCTGCTAGACAATACTGACCTCTCATGGTCTGGCAAATTCTCCAGTTTGGCACCAGTCAGATCCCAGGGGGGCCAGGCTAGAGAGTTTCAGCCTCGCTTGGCTTCACGCTGAGAAGGAAAAGCAGAAGCCTGGAACTGCAGGGCCCAGTACATACAGGCTGAGAGGGAGGACAACCGGTTTGCTCATTACCCTCTGGGAGACGAAAGGGCAAGTTCACCGTCTCTTGTGGTTGGTGATGTATTAATAGCTGCTGATAGGCCTGAGATGAGCATGAACATACAAACGGCTGTACTGGGTCAGACTGAAGGTCCATCTAGCCCAGTATCCTGTCTGCCAACTGTGGCCAGCACCAGGTGCCCCAGAGAGGGTGGACCGAAGACAATGATCAAACGATTTGTCTTGTGCCATCCTTCTCCAGCCTCTGACAAACAGAGGCCAGGGACACCATATCTATCCCCTGGCTAATAGCCTTTTATGGACCTAACCTCCATGAAATTATCTAGCGCCTCTTAAAACTCTGTTAAAGTCCTAGTCTTCACAGCCTCCACAGTTGTTGAGCAACATCAACAACTTCTGATACTGCTGCGCATGGCTAAAAGGAGCTGTGCTATCAATGAAGTCTCAGTCGCTGGAGCTGAGTGTGGTTTGTTGTGGAGGGTGTTTTTTTTTTTTAATCTATATCCAAAAGAGACTACATTAGCTAAGCTCTCGGGTCATAATCACTGCCTGTGGCAGTGTGGCTGGCAACCTGCCCTCATGACAGGAGCCATTAACAGTCCTTGTTGATTATGGATCCATTGGTTTTAGTTAGTCATGAAAGAAAAGGATCCCATCATCAGAGGTTTTAAATAACATGTTAGACAAGCACCATCACGGACCATCTAGGCTAGGGATAGCCCCATCTTAGTGTAGAGATATGAGCTATCTCCCCGAGATGGGTTACAGCCCTCTCGACCTGCGATTGTCATCTCACGTGGCTTAAATCTGTCGGTGAAAGTGGATGAAAACCAAGCAATGCAGAATTTCCAAACAATGTTTTTCCTTTTCTCGCCTCGTCTGTCGCCTACATGGATCTGGGTCCCTTCAGACATTGGTCCTGGTCCTGTCAAATGTTTAGCTTTTAAACTCAATGTCCACCATTAACACCTAGATGTTGATGGGCCCTTCTGAGTCTACACTAGCTAAAGTGTTTTTTTTCCCTCGTTCTCTAATGGAGTAATTTCCATGCACATATAGCCAAAATAGAGCAGCTGAGGATTTAGAGAACTGTCTGTTCTTAAACATTCTTCATTGATTTAATCTCTCGTTAATCGGTTTTTCAGTTTGTTTGTTTTACATTGTCCTGAAGCTTTTCATTTGATCTTGGATCAATGTGTGCTCCTTAAGCTCCACTGGCGGGGTCCTCATTTCTGTCTTCACCGGGGGAAATCGGTGTGCCACCGCCTGAGCCTGGGGATGCTAGACACCCGGGCTGTGGCTGTTATGCATGGGGATGAAAGGCCAGAGTGCCCCAGCTCTTAGCATTGCTCTTGAGGTGATCCCTATTGAGCCAGGAATTGGATGTTTCGGTAGCTTGTACATCCAGGCTCTTCCCCTTGCTTCCAAAAGCTGAATCGGTTCATCTGTTGTCATCAGGTTGACAGCGACACAATTTGGAATGAAGTTCATTCGTCTGGTGCTGCTCGCCTGGCCGTTGGCTGTGTCATCGAACTTGTTTTTAAAGTGGCCACAGGAGAGCTGAAGGTTGGTCTAGTAATAACCCACTTGTTCTGGGCAGAGAGCATGGGTAAGATTTATGGCCCGTGTTAGTCCAGACTAGGAATGTAGTGATCCCTCTGTCAGCAAGTGAACAAACAATTTACCAACCCTTAAGGGTGGGTTTTAAATGATCAGAGCCCCAGATAGGATCTGGCTGCCACCTGAGTCTTGTGCTATTAACTTCAACAGAGTCGTATTTCACTGCTGTTCAAAGTATGCTCTACCAGAGACACAGAGAAGAAAATTAATCAGCTCCCCCTTTACTTGCCCCCCCCTGCAAAAAAAAAAAAGCAGGGTGCCAGTGTCTCTTAAAAATAAAAGTTAACACATTGCGAAGGGCTTGAGTGAAATCCATGACTCCTCAGTGATCAAAAAACAATGAGTAATTCCATTCTGACTCTGGCTTATGAGCACGTCTTATGGGATTCCAGTGTTCTTGTGTGTCTGATCTCCCCTCTCTCTTCTTGTTTGTTTGGTGTAGAATGGATTTGCTGTTGTTCGACCCCCAGGTCATCATGCTGAAGAGAGTACGCCCATGTAAGTATGTCTGTGCTTTCATTGGTCTGCTTCAGGGTGTAGAGCCAATAGTTAAGAAAACTAGTCTCTATGTGAGATGGTACAGGAAGCTAGAAAATTAATTGTTTGATTTATTGTAGGCTTTCTTGCTGAGTGACATACGCCGACGCTTCAGGTTCAAAGCTATTTGTAGATTTTTAG